TGCTGCCTGCTGGTATTATCCCAAGTTGGTAGCACTCTACAGGCTTGGCTGCTGAAGTGAGACTAGTAGAGGGTCATAACTGGTGGGACAGGAAAGCCTGAGCAGCTGCTGCTGCAGAGAGAGTTTGTGTGTGAGTGCTAAACACTTGCAGCAGAAGCCGAAGTAAATTCTTGCTGCAGGTTCCAGCAGGCTGGTGATAATTTGTCCCTGCTCGGGGCTATCTGGCAGTCCTCTAGATCCTGGGCAGTGGTGGCAGCTCTTTGTGCAGTTTGCCCTCTGTAGCCTGGCTGGTGAGTCTTGAAGAGGAGAATAGTATTAAAAGCTGTTGGCTACCTGTTGGAAGTGGGTACTTCACTGGAGTTTGTCTTTACCACTTCATCTTTGAACAGCTTTGTGACGAGTTTTTTCCCCTGTAGGGCTTCATTTCTCTACATGTATAACAGGACAGTCTCTATAGGGTGCAAGTGTGGGATGTCTTAGTGTCTACAGAGGCTTTTGGTGACATAGACCGAATGAACATGAGCAGTGTTGGATTCACATGGTTGTCAGATGAGTCTGGGTTGTTTCTTGAAAGTTGGTTTTAGAAACTCCAAAAAGGGCAGCTTCCCTATAAAAATGCTGTGACTAATAGGAGTTGTTTGTGCTTTGTTACAGGAGTTACTTGAATGAGGTCTCCCTTCCTGCATGGCAGTAGGAGATAATAACTCTTGCACTGTTCACTTTTAACACTTCCAACAAACTGACTAAATGGACCTGGGGAAAAGAGGAAAAAGGCTGGACTGGTTTCCCATCGCCTAACAAAGTCTGCATCTTTAGAGAAGTTGCAAAAAATGAAACAAAATGGCTGGATCACAATCTTTCAGGCATAGACCAGTTCTGTTCTCTTCCAAACTGGCACCTGCCTTAGATGCCGGAGGCGGGGAGATTGCTGGAGATCTGGGAAACCAGCAATAATGGTTATTTATTTCCTTTTTGTGTTAGGCCCTATTTATGTGAATGCTTATCCATGTTCAGAATATGTTCCCTAGTGCTGTGACAGTGGTTTTGCTTGATAGCTGACTGACTGAATAGTGCTGAATAAGCAGCAGATCAATTTTGTATCAAAATGAGTCTTGAGTATTTGTTGAAATACAGATGTTTTATTTTTCTCACTTAAAAATTACTGATGTGTTCTGTGTGGGTTTTTTCTAGTAAATAGTGCTTTTAATAATGTGTGTATGAGTGTGATTGCTAATGAGAAAAATGAAGTTTGCAAGCTGCACGAAACCCAGGGAGAATGTGGAAAATGAATATGCATGTGGCTGAAACTGCAGGATTCAATTAGGCTTGGATTCTTTCTTGATTCTTCCACAGCCTGCCTCATACAAACATTAGCAAATCACTTAACAAAAACTTGTTTCCTCGTTCATAAACCAGCAATTTCTTTCTTACAGAGAGGTGCAAAGCTAGCTGAGTCAAAGCTGAGCAAATCTAGTGGGAAAGTGCTGCAGAAAGCTCCGTACTCCTGCACTGGCTCAGCTTCCTGCCAACGTAGCGAGGAGCTTAGAGCGCTATGAGTTGCAACTCTTCTGTGAGGGCCCTTTAGGCAGAGCTTGGGTCAGGGGGAAAGTGGGTGCCAATGTTGCTGTAACTGGGTGTCAAGATGTTAGATATTTGATTTTGGAATGATTTTGAAATGGCTTTCCTCTTTCAGTGTACTCTACTTTCCATAAGCCATTATAGGTAACATTTTTCCCAGCAGTTCAGATGTGGTAGAAGCTCTGCCATACAGTTCTGTGCACTGTCCACCACAGGACTGTTACTGTGAGGCACTGGTCCTAAATGTGATCTGTGCTCTGAATGATTGTTGTCCTTTGCAAATGTTGTTCAAGAGATGCCCTTGTAATCTTACTGCTTGTAGAAAAACTTCATGTAACTACAAAAAGCAGCTGTCTCTCTTCTTTTTCAGGATTAAACTGATCTGTTACTATAGGACAAAACCTCCTGAGGCTAGATTGGTCAATTAACAGACATTCTGATTACCTTCAGCAAGGGCATAGCTAATAGAGGTACTGTATCTTTTTTTTTTTTAGTGTAAAGCTAATTTAATGCCTAACAAGAAGCACAGGCTTAAAGAATCTCTGAGCATCTCTGCCCCACTCCTAATGATAACATGGAGAATCTCTCCAGAAACTTAGAAAGCAGAACAAAGAGTAGAGTGGGAAGCTAATGGGAAAATGTGTCATGCTGCCATGGTATCAGAGCATGAAATGTTCTTGAGACTTCTTTAAAACAGACTGTTAGTGAGTTCTTGTTGCAGCTGCAGCTCCAGGACCGTGGGAAGGAGGGGAGGCAAAGGTACGATGTTGATGCTTAACATCATCACAATGCTGCTTGCTGTGCTGCTCCTTTAATTACTGTTAGAGCCACAGCCTGTAATTTGGGAATCGTGGGTTATGTTCCTTGCATTGCCAAGACTTGAATCCCTTTCCCTCAAAATACTGAGTTGTCATAATTATGCTTGAAGCTTAAGGACATCCAAAATTAGAGGCATCATTATAGAAATCATCCTTTCCAGCTGAACTCTAAACCAAGAGCTGCCACCTGCCTTCCTGTGTAAAGATGTTGACAGCTGAAAGGCCAGTTGAAGAGCCTCTTTCTTCTAACTCTGTAGCTTGTTTTGTCCCCCCCAAATCAGCTGGGCAGACCTATGCCTGTGACCTTCGCTCTTTTCAGTCTTTCTGGCCACTTCACAAAGAAACTTTCTGGACCCTAGCTGGTACTTCAGCAGTACAGATTGGAAAATAAAGCCAGAATGGGTCTAAAATCACTGCATATGTAATGCTGCCGACTCGCAACGCAACAAGCGTTTTTCTCCTCCCCCATAGCCCATTCTGGCTTCTCTTTTTCTTTCTTTTTCCTTCCCTTTCCTGTCTCAGAGTATAGCTGAGTAGTTTCCCCTTTTCTCTCTTCTCAAACCAGTTTTGCTCCAGGAATGATCTTTGCTCTAGCCAGAGTATAAAGGGAGGCTGCATGCAAGCCAGGTTTGCTCGGAGACAGGACACAGGCGAGTGTTGCTAGACCAGGAAAGGAAACAAGGAGGCTTTTGGCTGCACACGCTCAGGTTGATCCAGGTAATACAGAATGGTTTATATTAATAGGGAATTTTTTTTAGTTTTACAGCTCTGAGGTAAGGATGTGAAGTTTATCAACAGGGGAATGCATTTCTTGTCGTCTGCTGGGGCTGGTTTGTTGTCAGGCAGAGCAGAGTGCTTTCTCTGTGATAGGAAATGACTAGTTCAGTCCAGCTCATTAAAATTAACTGGCAATGTGATGTGTAAGAAGTACGTGCTGAGGATGTTTGGAGTCTTTCTCTGTGCTGGAGCAGTAAAATGATGAAGGTTTGAGATGACCTTGGAGAGAGATGCAGTAAGACGTGTGAAATCCCAGCCCCTGTATAGCTGCTGATGGTCAGAACTCTGTTCCCACCCTCCCTGTCCCCAAACAAGATGACTGAAAAGGTTTCTGGCAGAGCCTTGCTGAGCCACTGGAAATTACAATGGCTACTGCAGTCAGCTTATACCTGTGATATGAGGAGAGTTATTAATGACTGGGATTTCAGAAGGTACTAATTCTGGAGCAATCTGACCACAAAGGGCCAAAGAAATACAAAAAATGCCAGTTTCTTATTTGAAAGGCAAAGAAGCATGGATATAGAAGTGTTGAGTTTTCTGCATCTATTTACCTGCAAGCTTCCAGGCTGAGAAGAAGTCGTTTTTCTGACCCTGTGGTTAATAGCAGGCTCTTGTCAGGAAGCAGGTAACTCGTAACCTCAGAGTACAGCTGCTGCAGGGGAGTGCCACAGCAAGCTCCCACCAAACACACACGCAGAAGCACTCCTCATCAACGGGAATGCCTCCGTGGCCTCTGGGCGCGTCTGTGCTAGCCAAGCAGGTGGTGGCTGTGAGCATAAATTGCTGAAGCTGCACAGGTGGAATCTGTGAGGTGCATGTGAGGCTGCTGACCTCATGGTTTCCTGGTGTGTGATTTGCATCTCTGTGCTTATGGTGAAAATCGCGTACAGCTGTGTGTTTCTCCTTCATTGCACACGGATGAGGTACAGGATGCAGAAAACCAGCTTTTGTGTGGTTACAGCCTTAACTGGGTTCAGCTACAACCATTAGGGGCTTTCACAGAGCCTTTTGTGGGCAGCAGATTTAGAGACTGTGCAGTCAGAGTACAGGGATCTCGCTAATGCTGGGAGATGGGGAAGGAAGTGCGTGAACTGTCTGTAAAGCAGAGGCAGCAGCTAATTAGGAGAGCTTTAAAGATGTTTTTACTTCTTCAGAGGATGTCTGGTTTCAAATTGGAAGTTGCAGTTTGCCATCAGCTTATCCTGTGTTGTGTTCCACCCTTTTTGTATTCTTTATGGGGATTACAGATTTAATTCGGAGCATCTGGGGAACCCATGGTGAAGTCAGTGAGATCTGACAGCACTTCTTTGGGGTGTGCTGTTGGGGAGCTAGAGTTGGTTGAATTTTTCTTTATCCATGGGGCTCGCAATGACTTGCCTATCGCCAGTGGACCTGTTGCTAGATAGTTTCCCTTTCCTCGTGCAGTGCAATCTGGGAGATATTCAGCTGGTTGGAGGGAGATCATCAAGCTTTGGCAACTTCTGTTTTCTTAGAATTTCATGCCAGCTCTCCCTTCACATATGCATCAGCAGCATTGGCACCAGCCTCGCAGTCGCTGGTATCTCCAGCCTGGCACCGTGCTGTTCTTTCAGGTATGACTGTGGTGTATCACCGTGTTCTGCAGGTGATTGGCAAGCGCTGAGTTGAGACTGCATGGGAGATGTGTTCCTCTATCTAAAAGACATTTTTCCATTCTCAATCTGTTAACATACTTGGTGTCACCACCACCCCCCTACTGCTCTAGGAGGCTTAGAGTCTGCTTGTTTGTTCTTTGTTTTGGTTTTTCCAAGGCAGGACAGCACTGCTCATTAATACTTCTCACTCACCAGCATGTTGGAAGAAGATGATGATGAGGCATGTTGGAATAACCTGGAGAACTTCCGGGTGAAGCTGATCTCTGTGATAGACCCTTCCCGTATAACACCCTATCTTCGCCAGTGCAAAGTCATCAGCCATGATGATGAGGAACAAGTTCTTAATGACCCCAGCCTGGTCATGCGCAAACGGAAGGCAGGTGGGTGAGGTGCAGCCTTTGGTTCCATAGATGCTCCTGGGCTCTGTTGGCTTTTGGGAGCAGGGTGGGACAGAGTGCTAACAGACTGGGCCTGAAGGAACACGTCACTTCTAGGTTACCCTCAGACTGTGTTTAGACACAAATGTTGGTGGAGGCACTGCTGAGCAGCCCCTTTCCCCTTCCTTTCCCCAGCACATCCTTGTGGGGAGAGGAGGAATGGAAATGGCTCTATGGATGCATTCCTGAGCTGTGTGAGGGTAGTGGGAGCACAGAGGGTGTGCAGCCTTTCGGTGTTCTGGGTTAGCATACGGGAGGGCATTGCTTGGGTTTGACCCAGAAGGCTATTCCTGTGTAATAATTTTGCAGAGTGAGATTTCCAAGATGAATTCAGCATGTATCGTCCCTCGTTCCTATCTTCTGGTGTTTGAGGGAACGCTGGCAGCACATTAAGCAAGTTCTTTGTGACTGGTCTATACAGTCCTGATCTTTTTCCAACCAGAGAGAATGACGGAACTTCTTATGCTATTAGTACATCTTTTGGTTTGGATTAACTCTTATTGATAAATTACTTATTTTTTCCCTGTTTTCCAGATTGGGAAACTTCAGGACACAAAAAAGAAGCCACCTGGGCTTGATTTGGTACAGAGTATTTCTAGACAAAGTAGGGAACTGAGCAAAAACTTGTTTTAGTTCAGGCTATCTTAGGCTCTTCCTTGCTCCCTCTCTAGTTATGTGCAGTGTTCTTACATGACTGGTCCTTTTTTCCCCACATTTGCCTCTGCTGTTTGGAAGTGGAGCCTTGAACTGCAAAAACTGTTGTGGTGCTTTGTTTTAATTTACCTTTTCTGTCATTGTCAGCAGGATAACATAAAGTGCTCTTCTGAGATCTGCTTTTTGCACCCACTGTAGTAGGAGCTAGGTGCAAGGGTTAAGTTTTAACTGTTCCTTCACAATTGAAATATTTTTATATAGTTACTGGGTGATTGGCTGGGGGATTTGATCCTATGGACTTTAATCTGCATGTGGAGAAAGTGGAGCAATTTTTTGTTATGTTAGGAATAGGTAGAGAGGTAAATAAATGAATAAAATATCCTGTTGCTATTATTTCAGGAGTTCTTCTGGACATTCTTCAGCGAACGGGACGCAAGGGCTTTGAGGCATTTCTGGAGAGTCTTGAGCTTTATTATCCACAACTGTACAAGAAAATAACTGGCAAGGAGCCCAGCAGAGTTTTCTCTATGATTATAGGTAATGTTTGTGTTCTGGAAAAACAGCTCTTCGTTTGGTGTTGCTGTGCACATTAAGGGAGGGCTCACCTCCGTGTTCGCATCTCCCCAGCCTCCGTGAGCAGAGTCGGGAGCCTTCCCTGGCTTCCTCTCTGTGTGCTTCGGAAGGGTTCTGGCAAGAGTGGCCCTGCTGTCTGGTGTCACAGGCTGGGCCTGGGAAGGTGGAGGAGGAAGCAGAAGGATCCATTATTCCTTCTGCCTTTTCTGTCAGTGGCACTGTGGTATATAAAGGCACAGAGCAAGGGGAAACAGTGGGGATAATTTGACATGTCTTCAGGTTTGGCGTGCTTGTGCGTGGTGTGTGGTGATGCTGAGCTGTCACGACGAGTGCGTGGGAACCTGTGCTGTACGTGGGTCTGGGGAGCAGGCAGGACAGCGGTGGCTGATGCCTGCCCACCAAACAGACACGGCTGGGGAGTCCGGCCTGAGCCAGCTGCTGATGAACGAGATCATGAAGCTGCAGAGCACTGTGCAGGAGGAGCGGCGGAAGGCCCAGGAGCTCACCGTGTGGCTGCACACCAAGGAAGACACCATCAGAGAGATGTGGGTGAGGGACAGCCTGCTCCGCAAGCACCAGGAGCGGGCGCAGAAGATGAAGGAGGAGAGGGACAGCCTGAGCAAGGAGCTGCGGAAGTGCAAGGACGAGAACTACAACCTGGCACTGAGCTATGCCAAACAAAGTGAGGAGAAGAGCGCTGCCCTCATGAAGAACCGGGACCTGATCCTAGAGGTCAGTCACCCTTTTCCAAAGCTTCTCCCTTCTTACCTGATCCCTGGCAGGTTGTGCTGTTCATCAGGCTTGTCTTTGCCTGGGATGGTCTGGACCAGCCCAGGATGAGATTCTGTGCATCTTCTCTAGCAGGTGGTGTGTCTTGGTGGTCCCTAGCTCAGCTCAGTAGGCCCATTTATTACCAGTTATGCTGTGAAGAATTAAGTCTTCCCCTCATTCAAGACTGGGCCCTCTCACAAGAGCAACATGGTGTATCTGTTTAGCACACAGGCAGGACTCTGATCCCCAGAGCACTGAGCATCCTGAGGAAAATAAAGCTGGGAAGAAACTTGCCCCATGTTTGTCTGGGGAATGGAGTAAGAACTGCTTTTGCAGGCCAGAGTTTTCTCTTTGTTACTGACAAGCTCTGAACCTTCTGGTAGATCGATCACTTGAAGCACAGCCTCATGAAGGCTGAGGATGACTGCAAACTGGAGCGTAAGCACACGATGAAACTGAAGCACGCCATAGAGCAGCGTCCAAGCCATGAGGTGATGTGGGAGATCCAGCAGGAGAAGGAGTTGCTCTTGGCCAAGAACCAGGAGCTGGAGAACACTCTCCAGGTTGGTGGGGGTGGTTGGATATGGACTCCTGAGCAGTGATTATTTGTAGTAGCCAGGGCAGCAACGGGGCTGGACTGAAGATTGTGTGGGTCAGCTGTGGCCTTGTTCTCCCAAGCTAAATAGAGCACTTAAGGCTGTGGGAAGAGAGTTGTTATGGAGTTAGATGGTTGCTGTATCTCACTTGGTTTTTTGTCCAGCAGGTTGCTAGGGAGCAGAATTTGGAGAAGAGCATCTCCAACGCGACTCTGGAGAATGACTGTAGCCAGATCCTAGAAGAACGCCGGGAGCTGATGAACACCATTTACAGCCTTCGCAAGGAGCTGCGGCAAGCTGAGGTGCTCCAAGACAAAGTACGGGATGCATTGCAAATTCCTTCCGAGGGTCAGTGGGTAAGATGGGCAGATGAGCACCTGCAATGTCTTGCCTATGGAACAGAGGAGCTGCTCAGCAGCAATCCTTGCTGCTCCAACTCTAGTGTCTGTGTTACAGTTTGTTGGAAAAAGGCACACTAATATTTTAGCATTCTGTGTCTGTGGCATTAACTGTTACCTGTTAATGCCTGTGCTAATTAGCAGTCCCTGCCTCAGCCTGGAGAATAATGGGAGCTTTTATTATGATTGACAGCTCAGGTGCATGTAAATCCATCATTTTAGCAGTCCTCCTGGTCATGTTGACCAACCTTCTGGTTGGCCTTGCTCCAACTGGGCAGCCTGGCTGAACTTGGACGTTGCATGGAGGTCTGGCCGTAGTAATCTGTGGCACAGAGCAGAAGTGGTGAGAGTCTAGCTCAGGTTTTGCCCACAAGAAGCATGCTTTTGACCTTGTCTCAACAGTATGCAGAAGAAAAAGAGATGCTTGAACTACAGTGCACGTCTCTGAGGAAGGACTCCCAGATGTATAAAAAACGGATTGAAGCTGTCTTGCAGCAGATGGAGGAGGTGGCTTCAGAAAGAGATCAGGTGATAAAACCATCCCTCTTGGAGCTTCTGCTAATCTCTGCTTCTCTGCTTGACGTGGGCAGGTACTGTAGCTGTGAGCACTGTCGTGTGACATGCCATGCCGTGTTTTCCCTCACACCAGGCACTGCTGACCCGAGAACAGTTCTATACGCAGTACTCCAAGAACCTGGTTGAGAGGGATGCTTACCGCAAGCAGATTCGGGAGCTGGGGGAGCGATGTGACGAAATGCAACTGCAGCTCTTCCAAAAGGAGAGTCAGTTACTGGCTACTGAAGCCAAGCTGAAAAGGTTGCAACTGGAGCTCCCCACACCGGTATGTCTGCAGGGCTGTCGCTGTGTGATGGGTTGGGAAGCTGAGCGCAGGGCCAGAGTGTGGCCATCCTGAGGCCTTTGCACCTAACCAGTTCAAATTCAGCAGGCAGTGGCCAGCTGTGCGGGTGACCATTTCCATGTCAATGCTGAGTTTAAAAAACATAAGACGTGATGGTTCCTGTTACCTCACCCTGGTTCCAGGCATGGAAAAGCTGGACTGATGCAAGCTGAGACCTTCTCTGTTCGTGTTTGGAGCATGTCCAAAGATGACGAGGGGATCCTCAACCACCGAAAAGTGAACTCTATTTAGAGACCGTGTATGAGCCATTTGGATGAAATGAGAACAGAGTGTATGGGTGCTAATTTTCTGGAATGAAACCAAGATATACAAGGGCTTTAATTAATGTGGCATCTTGTGTACTCTCTCCAAGTGGCCAGACAGGAGTATAAGAGGGAGGAAGTCTACACTTCTCTGTTTTCTGGAGCTTTCAATCTCCTGACTACCACTTCCTTGCTTACGAAGAATGATTAATTTGTACTGATTTATTTCAGACCTCTGACCTGGACGATACCTCCTCCAGAGACTCCCAGGAAGTGAGTAGGGTGCCTTTTTACCTTTTACTTTCTTCTGGGATGGTTTCAAATTCCTCGCTTGTGCTCAGTTCCCTAAGTGATTGATGTTTTTAATCCATGGCTCAGGCTCATTTCAGTGGTATCAAAAACTACAGAGGCAGCAAAACAGACCAGTAACAGAATCTCCCTGTGTCCTGAGACAGAATTCTAAGCGTAGGACACAGTTATGGCGTTAGTCAGCAAGATTTCTTGAGTCTAAGCAAATCAGGGGAATTATAATTTTGAGTTGCTTCTAATTGTCTCCCTTGTGGGAGAAGAGGCAAAAATAAATCTTACCCTGGGGACATCTGTAGTAAAAAGTTTTCACTTAGTTCATAACTTCAGCATGGAAGTGATTGTCACATTGTCTGGAAGCTAAAAGTATCAATGAGGCCAAAGGAACTGGATCTGTTCATGGAGGATAAATCCATGAGTAGATCCATAACTTCTGGCTCAGTCTTTTGTTTTGTTGACAGCAAGATGCACTAAGGAAAGGTCGGTTCTACACGTGTCCTGTTTCTTATATTCCTCCATCTGTTCCTAGCTACTGTGTGAGACAGAACAAGGGGCAGTTCTCATGTTCTTGCTTTGTTTCTATCCTATAGCTTACTCTTCACGGTCATCTAGATGAAGATACACACCCGACTAAAAGTAAGACTTTTCTTGGGAAAGGGCAGAGTAGAATTCTTGAGAGGATGGTCCAGTGTTTCATAGGGACAGGAAAATACATTTCTGGGTTTTATTTTTAGCTAAGAACAGGTTAGTCTGACTGGGGACTCTGTGAGAGATGCTTCTCAGCGGGGTGTGCTGGGCACTCTGAGTCAGACCTCCTTGAGACGACTCCAAATAGGTACCTGTAAATCAAGACATTCTGCCATACCACCATCTTTATTACCTATAAAAAGGAGAACATGTCCCCAGATACTGGGAACAGTGAATGCTTGTAAAGCTTTTTTGAGAGAAAAAGCTCCACAGGCTGTCTTTTTACTACATGGTCTTTGAAAAGGTCTTTCATATAGCTGAATGACCTCGGAAAAGTGGTATCATTAGACTGTTGAAGGACCTCGAGTCTTTTTTGAGGTAATCTAGCTGCTAAATTTATCCAGGAAAAATGACCTGGTACCTGCTGCCTTTGAGAAATAGCTTCTGGGTGCCTTTTTTCCCCTCACTCCTCTTGCATTTGTGGCAGGGCTGAGGACAGAACAAACATCCTTCCACTTCAGCTGGACCATGTGGCTTTCTCCAGGGATTTTTCCCTCCCCTCTTCCCTTTTATGTTGCAGTCCGTTCTCACAAAAGCAGAAACATGTAGTTAACGCCATCACTGGTTCTGTTTCTGTGGCATCCCCAAGTGGAAGTGATTCAGCAGCGTGGAAAGGAATCAATAAGCTCCTCTAAGAACATGAAATTCTCTTTCAAAACATGCTGAGAAAGGAAGGAAACTAGCACAGTAGAAGAAATCTTCTGTTTTCATCTGCTGGAAGAGCTAAACGATCTTTTCATTCATGGAGATGGGAGATTTTTCACAAAAGCTAAACAACACTGATCCAAAAAACATTTTATCATTGTACCTCGCTCAGTTCAAAAACATGTGTCACTATACCTGGTACTGCATAAGGAGTTTCACTAAAATATGGTCTGATGTGAAGTGCCCCAGCTTAGTTGTTGGGGAACAGGGACAATTTATGGTTAAAATAATGATCAACACGATTTCTCGTGGTGACCTCTAACATGATTATTTTTTTTTTTAATGATGCTAAGCAGAGCTGCTGCTTTGCAAAGGTTCATTTTGCTCCTGCACGAGTAGAAACTAGAAAGCTGCTGGCTCTTTCTGAGCCTGATGGGGAACTCCATCATCCTAAGCAAGACTGAGGGTTCGAGTAAAATGAGAAGTGACTTGTACGTTGATGGCAGGACTGGATCCTCAGCGTTTTGAGCCTTGGTTTCAGTTCTGCTGTTGACTCAGGGTAGTGTTGGGCAGCTGCTGTTTGATGAACTGGTGGAGGGAGAAGTTACTTCGCAATGGCAACTATGACTAAACTGTGATTTTTTTTATTTATTTTTTTTTTTCCCCTTCGCTTGGAAGATTGCCCTGAAGGACAAAACCAGCAGTTTAGCACTCGAGAGAGCAGTCTGCCTCCGAAGTCACCCAGTGTAAGAGAATCTTTGTGGGCTCTTCTTTACTATGACTGGGGTTTGTAATCTTTAATGTTCCTGTTAATGATGGATTTACCAGGTTTGAGAAGCGTGTAAGCAGCTACTGCTTTTCCAAAATCTGAGCACTTTGTGCAAAATTCACCATCCAAAAAGGGTGAGCTCTGAACAGCAGAACACTTATGGTGGTTATTTCTCCATCTGTGCCTGGAAACTTCTTTTCATTACTTTCTGGTCTTCATCTCTGGGTATGGATGCTCCCATTTTTTTTCTCCTTCATTGAAATGTAAAATGATTTGTTGCACAAACAAGTTGGAGAGGAGAAATGACCAAGCTTACTTGGGTGGTCTGCAGCCTTTTACCCTGCAGAGGCCAGATGCAGGATATCAGCTCAAAACCAGCCACCTTTGCAGGGCAGGTTCGCGCTACCTGGTGCTAACATTGACCCAATCTTCAGAGGAATCCAGTTCATGTTTGTTTGGGTCTTTTTCCAGTTCAAGGAGTGTGGTTTAGCCAATGAGGAACCGGCAGAAAAGGAGCGAAGGAGGATGAAGGACTGCTTTGAGCGTTATCGAAGGTCTGGACTAATTTAGATGTACTTAACTGATGTTAAGTCACTTACTTTCGGTAACTTAACTGATCAGCTTGTTGTACATATTTCCTCTTTTCTGCCCATCCTCTGTCCCCAGGCTTGATTCAGGGAAGCGTAAATTCATTACAGATCCCATCTTCAGAGGCTTGTGCTTCTGGCTGAACTGGTTGAGACTCCTGTTTCAGTACCAGAGGCAGCCAAGATAGAAATGATTGTTTGCTCTGGACCGATGCAGATGGTTCCACAGCAGGGAGCGGAGGGCACTCCAACGAATTGCTAGTTTAATAGATCCGATAGATTTCTCCCATGTGAGTGAAACCTGCTGATGTTCCAGACCAAGCTCCCGCGACGATGAACGGGAGCAGATTTCCACCCTCTGCCCTCTCCCCGTTCAGTTAAACACTAAGTGGGGCGGTTCGGCGTGCATCCACCCACCCACCGCACTCCCCAAAGCATTCCCGTGCCGCTGGCTTGCAGAAAACCCCTTCTAAAAGTGAAACGCCTGGTCTTGCTTTCAGAAAAAGGGCACTGCGGAGGGTCCCGAGGGACCGGCACCACGAGGCCGACTGGGAGCACACCACTGGCAGCGACAACACCGACACGGAGGGCTGCTGAGGGCGGCAGCACCGGCCGGGGCGGGGGGCTGCTGCACCCCCGGTGTTTGTCTCTCAAGGGGCGATTTGGGTTTAAAACCATGGAAAGAAACAATTATCGAAAGTTAATGCTTGTAGCGGGACAGTGGGGTTTAGCTCCGACGTGCCCTCGCCCCTCTCGGAAACGCAGTGATGCGAGAGCCGCGGGGCGCGCAAAATGAAATAAAAGGAATTAAATAGTTGATGTT